ATCGTTTTTTTAATACCCTTATAAAGCCTTGCATCCAAAAATTAAATTGTCCAATTAATATTATGTTGTGCAATTTAGATAAAACAAAAAATAAAAGTGTTTTATGCTTTAAGCCAAATTATTTTGTGGCACTGGTTAAATATCTTCCCAAAAAATGACCAGCTGTTGTTATAAGTGATTCAAATTTACTCAGTATCAAAAAATATAAATTTTTAAGTCTAGTTTTCCACCTACAGTTAACAAAATACAAAAACCAATTCAGACTAAATTATTCTTTCCTACTGTTTCTAAGAACACTTAAGATAAGTCTGATATTTGTTATAAAACAGTTAAAACTAAAATATTTATCTCAAAAGATGACAACAACAGTGATAAAAACACTCTTGAATCTAATGTTCTACTAAAGGAAAACAATGTTTTTGACATTGTTTATTAAATACACATCAGTTAGCATCTTATTTAAACTATAATGATTTATCATATCATCTGTGTGGTAAAAAAATCATCATATCATTTGTGTGGTGAAAAGTTAAAATCAAGAACAAATGATAATGAAATATTATCTCTAATAAATAATCTAAGTTCCAGATAAATCTAAGTTCCAGATAAATGCTTCCAATTCCCTTTAACATGTAAAAGCAGAAAAGGACATTTTTTGCTAAAATGATTAGTTAACTTTTCTTTGCTTACTTTAACATTTTACTCTAAAATTGAAGATGGTGCATATTGTCTTCCATGTACACTTTTTGGTACAAACATACCAAGCAAATATGCATTATGTAAATTGTTTAAAAAACCATTCAATACCTGACGTAATGCTATAAAAGATTTAAACATTATTTTTAGGTCGAAATGATATACCTCTACAATGTCATAGAGACGATAGAAAATATCAAGGAGAAATTGGAGAAACTTCTAATATTACAGGGATGGGTAATTTTATTGAGCTTTTAAACTTTAGAATTGATGCAAGTGATTTAATTCTAAAGGAATCTTCTCTATGCTCCCAAAAATTCTACATACATTTCAAAGACTATTCAAAACGAGTTAATTAAATGTTGTGGAAATGCAAATGAAGAAATTCTATTAAATGATATTAAATAAAGTAAGTACTTCTCCATTATTGCACACTAGGCTTCAGACTGTGCAACAATAGAACAACTTTCTATTGTCATACGTTATGTAGACTTGAACAGTTATATTAAGGAAGTTTTTTTTACGTTTTTTGAATGCAAAACAGGAACAAGTGGTTTAAACATAGCTACCAACATTCTTGAAATTTTAAAATAATTTGATTTAGATATAAGAAAATGCAGAGGCCAGTATTATGATGGAGCTGCTTCAATGTCAGTTTAACACAAAGGTGTTTTATCGCTTATAAAAAATGTTAATTCTAAGGCATTATTTGTGTGTCTCACATAAACTTAGTTTAGTTGTTGGGAAAAGTTGCCAAATCAAGTGAAAAGTTTGCTTTAAAGCAAGTTAAAGTCTTATTTTTTGAACTTTTCTCCTAAAAGATGTAATTGCTTAAATAAAAACTTTCTTCCTGGTCAAGCAAAACTTATTGACACATGTCAAACTCGGTGGGTACAAAAGTTTCGTGGACTTGGTTTTTTGATAATTATTCTACAGTTTTTTCTGCTTTTGAAGAAATAAAAGACTAATTTAAAAGAGTACAATAAAGAAACATCTTTAAAAGCATCTTCTTTTATGAAGTTATTGACAATTTTTTTTTATAGTTTCTTTAGTTTTAGCTTAAACATTTAATGGATTACTTTTATGGAATTTCTGTCACCCCTGAAAATAAATCTTTTGATATTTCCTAGCAACTGGATGAAATTCAAAATTTGACTAATCATTTAAAAGAAATACGAAGAAATGCTGATGCTTACCATAACAATTAGTATAAAATTGCTTTTGCATTGGCTAAAACATTTATATTAAGCTCACCCTCGCAACGGGCAAGCAACAAAATTTAGAAAAAGAAAACTCAATAAGTTGAGCGAAATTCAAAGGATAAAAATAACCTTATCAGAAGCTCTTAAACCACATTTGGAATTTTTATTTTGAAATATGGTGTGTTGAAAGAGGGAAAATTATTTTCCGATTACGAGTTTTTGGCAAGATTGGACAAAACAAAAGGTGTCGATATAAGAACAACATATCACAATAGACAAGCTGGAGTCGATTTTGGTTTAGCAATAGCAGATGTTTTTTTAAAGGAATTCAGAATGCAATTCTTAACAGCTAACTTTTTTAGCATTATTATGAACGAGTCAACTGATGCTTTTAGACTGGAGCAAATGGTTGTTTACCTGCGCTAATCGATAAATGGAAATATTGTGACAAGATTTCTGGCAATAGACATTGTAACACGACCTAACGCCAGGCAACTAATAGCCCTAATACTGAAAATTTTAAAATCTGAAATGAAATGGGATTACCCAAAGAAGCCGTTAGGAACACCATCAAACGTTATAGACTGTACATTTACTGTTTTTTCAATCATAAATGTTATTACTGAAACTGAAAAAACCCTGAGATTATTTAATAAAACATTTTTAAAATCAATATGTTGCTGTATCAGCCGATAAAAAAGTGCTAAGTTCATCAGTTCTGACATTTCTAACAACGCTTAATAATTTCTGTGTTGTGCGATGAGGTGGCAATGGAGTGGGTATTTGACTTGAAGGTATTCCAGGCCAAACAGATGGTGGCATTTTTGGTCTTTGTTTTCTTTGAACAGTAACTTTTTCAAAAATTGTTGGCCAATGTAATTGGCAAATAACAGTTTCATCTGAAACTAAAAGAATTCTATCTGAAACTAAAAGAATTCATCTGAAACTAAAAGAAAATTAGAATTCGAAATACTTTCTATCCAAATATTTCTTTGTTCTTTATCTTTAGGAAAACGATAAACTGATATTTTTTCAAAGCTTTTATTATTTTTGGTACTTGATAATTAGTTTTGCAGCCATATACACAACACTTTTTTGGCATCTATAAAGTATAATTATTTAAAAGAATATAAAAATATGCAAACCGTAACATAAAATTTATTTATATATATATATATATATATATATATATATATATATATATATATATATATATATATATATATATATATATAGTACAAATTCAACATTATAATGCCTGGACCATATTTTGCGCAGTTTTAAATACTATGAATGGAAATATTTAAAATGTAGATATTTTAATAAAGAATATGAATAGGAGAGTGCTTTAAATTGTAAGAAGTTGTTTTGTGAGAAAATCATTTTCTTAGGTCAACTTAATATAGCTTTCAAAGGTCATTGTGATGGTCATTGGCAAATATTCTTTAGTTATTGCTGATGAAGCTTCTGACTGCTCCAATCAGGAATAATTGTCTTTAGTAATTAGATTTATAGACAATTCCTATGATGTTAGGGCAGAATTTTTTTTTCTTTACATTGTTAATTAATACTGAATAAAGGTTTGTATATTTACTGTATATACAAATCTTTATTCAGTATCTTTAAGATCTTCTTTCATAGAAAGTTTGTATAATTTTTAAATTAAAAAATATAATCATTTTATTTATTATAGTTTTATTTAAAAGGATATTTATTTTAGTTTAGTTGTTATTTTTTTCATGAAGTTTTATTATCTTTATAAATTTAAACGTCTAATTTTTATTGTATTCTTTTTTTCTCTATTTATCTTTAGTTTTACCTGTCAATTGTTAATCGAAACTGGTACCGTTATGTACTGTATCTTTGATATTTTATTTAAGAACATTATATACATTGTCTATTATATACTTTTTCTCCTTTTTTTCAGCTCAGCCTTGACATTCTACCATGTGTGGTTATTTGAGTTGAAATATGGTTTTAATTTAGTAAGCTTTCATTATTTGAAGTTTACTTTATTGATCATTAGTCAACAGTTTAGAGAAAATAAACACATGTAACACAGCATAACTTTGTTTACGAACATTAATTTTACAATTGTTTAACATTATATAACATATCTATCAATGGAATAAAATAGCAAAATGGGTTTTTATGGTTAGTTATCATATTATTGCTTTTGTGTTATAGCATTTCTCATTGTATGATAGTCATACTAATAAATTACATTATAATTTTTATAATTATGGTATTAATGTTATTGCAGTTGTTTACTTTTACAAAGTAACAAAGTAAAACTTTGTTATTCTATTTGCAAGTCACCTAACTATGCAAAGCTTGCCTATTTAATTAATGATTTGTTATATCCATACAGGTGTATTATTTATGGAACACAATAATGATGCCCACAAAATATTTTAATATCACAGATAAAATATTGTCACAGACAATATTTTATTTTTGTAGATTTAATGGATCCTTGTTAGTTTTAATACTATGTATATATATATATATATATATATATATATATATATATATATATATATATATATATATATATATATATATATATATATATATATATATATATATATATATATATATATATATATATATATTAATATCGCTATATCTTTAACTATATCTTCAAGTGCAAAGCATTTGATCGTATAATAACTTGTGAAAAGCAGAGAGCACTTTTCACTTGGTACTTTTTAAATTAAAAAACTAAATACCTAGAAAAAAATATTTTAATATTTTATTATAAATTAACCATACTTGAAAGTTGTAAATTAAATTCATCTTATTAAATTAAATCCGTGTCAACAATAGGCAAAATAAATGTTGACATGGATTCAAGTTATTAACAGATTTTTGGATCATAGTGTATCAACAAATACCACAAAGATCATTAAATTCCATTATCATTACGGGAGAATACGAATGCTAAATTTGAAATTATTAAGTTATTTAAATTCATGAAGACCTTCTACATTAACCTTGTTTATATTTAATTAAACCTTGTTTAAAAAAAACAATTAAACCTATATTAATTAAACCTTGTTTAATTATAATTTATTTATTTTTATTTATTTTTGTATTTAGGTGCCCCAAGAATACCTAAGTTTTGTCACAGAGCCCCGCGGAAGTGCGTTTAACCAGGAAGTTCACGCCTCCTTGCTTACCGTGAAGCGAAAATATGCCCAGAACTCGTTTCGAATCTGGATCTCCTGCTTATTAAGCAAGTGCTGTAACCACGGCGTCACGGCCGCCATTTATGTACTTTCAATTACATATTTCGATTTCTTAATTGCATCTTGTATTTCTCAACACATATTAAAATTTTTTAATTAAATGTTGTGTTTTTTAATTACATATTACGATTTCTTAATTACATGTTGTGTTGCATAATTACAAATTACTATTTGTAAATTACAAGTTTTTTTTTCTCAATTTCAAATTACGATTACCTGAGTACAATTTTATTGTTCTAAATTACATCTTGAAAAGATTCAGTGCCAAACTTCTACGCCTTGTCAAATTAAAACTAGCAGATTTGTGTTTTTATTTATTTTTATGTTCTTAAACATGCAAATAAAAATATATAAAATTCTTTAATCATTTAATGTAACAGACGCCAACAAGTTTTTAGCGTCTTAAATACTTTATTAACCAGGTTTGATTATTTAAACGAGATCTGGTCAGGTTTAAGATTTACTTTATTAAAAAATCGAACTTGTTTACCATAAAAAATCACAAGAAGTAAACATTCCTCTTAAGTTGCGCGAACTTTATTTAAATGATACGATAGTTGAAAAAGCAAGCAAAATTATAGATAAAAATTTATCTTGGCTTCCCCATACAAATTATATACAGTCAAAAATTACCAAAACTATTAGCGTAATGTATCGAGTTCGAATATACGTCAATATGTTCAGTCTCAAGTTAATATATTTTGGGCTAATCTACTGTTTAATTAACTATGCAAAAATATCATAGGGAAGTTCGCAATCAACAAAACCTCATAGGCTATAAAAATTTATAGGCTAAAAAAAACGCTTGCCGTATCCTATACTTTAAACCTAAAAGAAAACATGCAAAACCTATTATGAAAGATCTGAAAATGATGGATATATTTAAAACAAATATCTATCAGCATCTAATTTTTATGCATAGTTACTAGAACAACCTTTTGCCAGCAAACTTCAACAATAAGTTGGAAATAAATCTAAAATGAAAAATATAATCTAAGATCAAATAGAAACGACAACTATAAATTGCTCTGGAAATGTAATAAATTCTCAGAACTTTGAATATTTTATCGAGGACCTAAAATATGGAATGACTGTCGAAAAGAATATAAATTTATGGTGAAGTCCTTAAATTCATTTAAGTTTCAAAAAAAAAAGAATTTTTTAAAATTTGATCATAAGAAAAGTTTTTTTTTTTTTTTTTTTTTTTTTTTTACACTACCTTTTTACCATTACGATATATTGTTTAAACTTGTACAAGCCGGGTTTTCTATAAAAATATTGTGATAATGTAATTTTATCCTTATCTTCTTTGAGCCCTTATCTGCTTTAAGTTTATTTTTTTGTTATTTCTCGGTGGTTTTGAATGGGATCTCATCAAAGAAATACTAATTCATTTTGTATTAACTTGTTTAACTTTGTTGGCCTGGTAATGTAAGGCAGTTGTCTTTAAGAGTATAATTCTTAAAAGAATATGGAAACTAAAAAATCTTCTACAAATTCTATAAAATCTTCTATATCTTCTATAAAAAAAATTCTATAAAGAAAGCATTAAAAACAGGATAAAATGGAATGAGATTTAATAGACTCAATACATATACTTGCATTCTCTTTGAATGTTTAAAAACTTGAACTTTGACGCTGATAAATGCCCCAATATTATTTATGTCAAAAAAGCTTAAACCATATAAGCTGTATACAGTCAATATAAATTTGAAAATTTTATATTGGCTATTATTAGGTGTATTAAACCATATAAATTGTAAACAGCCAATATAAATTTGAAAAAAAGTAGTTTGAATTTATTAGCTCATATATTTATCTTTTTTGAATTTATAAAAGAAGGAGTTTATGTAATTACTGGTTTGTATTAAAAGATGTAAAAAAAAAACAATCTAAGGGAGACCTTTTATTTTAGGGTTAGTTGGAACGTTTTTTTTTTATTTATAAAAAATTTTATTTTTGTGGCCAAAATGCAAATATTTTTTGAAATTTTTTTTATTGCCTTAATACTAAAATAAAACTTAATTACTAAAGCACACAAAATTTACTATTAATGATTTAATTTAGTAATGTAGTTTTTAATATATCTTTGACAAGAGAGCTGTAAAAAAATATTCCAACAAACCCCGCCATTGGGGCTTGTTGGAACAGAGAATGTTGTTAGTTGAAACATAATATGAAAGTTTAAAATGCAACATGTTTAATAATAAAAAATGCACTTTAACATAACACAAGTATATTATATGTACATCGTCAGCACAGAAGTCACAGATGTATTCGGCAGCATGTGAATCTGTACTTGAGCATGCCTCGTGAGTGCCTCGTGAATCTGTACTTGAGCATTCCTCGTGAAACGTATATGTGCAGGGTTTAACCCTGCACATATACGTTTCAGAGGAAATGCGTAGCGTACACAGCATGGAATGTCATAAATAGTAATTGTTTTGTCTTTATTTGCATTCATCCATGTGTCACATGCAGTATTAAAAGGAAAGTAGACTGATCTGTCTAATGGTAACAGCTGATGTGAGCAGTGAGGCGGAAAGAACAACATAATAACTCCATAGGCCTACGCAAAATCCAAAACTTCTAGGTTAATGTGCTCTTCGTGATTGTCAAGTAGCAATAAAACTGGTTGCTGTGGGGTGTATTGTACGTGAGTCACAAAATGCTTGATAAATAGCAAAAAACTCTGTTCATTCATCGATCTGAATGGATTCGCAGTTCCGATGCATCCTGCAGGACCATCATGAACAAAATGGTCACGAAAATTTACTCTGGAAAAATAAGCATTGGTGAAATAGTATTCCCAGAAGCGCTCACAGCACAACACACTGTTACTAATTTTCCTCTCTCGACCGATGTGACAGTTCCAATTTGCTTCACTCTTTTTCCGGCAACAATCTTTTGAGGCTTGTTTACAGCTGTACAACCTGTCTCATCCAATTTTTATCTCCATAACATTTCAAATGTTATCTCCATAACATTCCAAATGTTGTGGTAAAGCTTTGTTTTGTTTGTACTAAATTCAAATTGTCAAAAAATAAATTCACATTATATCTGTTAAAGCTGGTGGCACGACTTAGCAATGTGGTTTTGGGCGTTCTTATTGCTAGTCACATGAGGAATGCCATAGTCTGCTGCAACTCCTCGGCGTTTCTCTCCATTTTCAACGACTCTTTTGGCAGCAGCAAGTATTGCATTGCTTGATGTCATACCTTTTGCTGGTGTTTTTTGTTTATAATAACGCATTCTACTTAGATTTGTAAAGAATTGAAAAACATCTTTTTTAAGATTTCAGTTGATATTAAAAAACCGCAAACAATGGCTTGTGTTCAAAGTAATAAAAAACAAGCCGCTGTCAACGACGTGCGGTAGCAAGATAAAAAAACAGGTTCTAGGAAAAAATCCCCCGGGAAAAAATCCTCCGAGAAAAAACCCCCGCCGAGAAAAAATCTCCCTGGAAAATACCCTTTAAAAAAAATTTATTTTTTTACTTAAAAACTATCAATATGTAGTTATGTTTATTTCTTTATTATTTTTTTTATATTTATGTAAAATACTTCATTTTTCATCAAAATGTCAAGTTATGCGCTATTCCACAAATGTAGCGAATGTGAAACCCTAACCTTGACGAACTGCGAACTGGTAAAATGTGAACCTTTTTGCGAACCATCATAGTTAATTTAGCGGTATATTTAAAGGACTTTTAAGCGAAAAAATTATTTAAAAATAAAAATAAAAGAAAATTATGTGAAACTACACGAATACAATATGAAAAAAAAGTATATATTTTAATTGTTTAATAGTTTAATTGTTTAATAGGTTTGAGCAGGCAGTCTATAGACTGCCTGCTCAAACCAAACCCTCAGTTGATGTAGCAGCACTCCGTTGCAAGTCAGACTATAAGGTAGTTGATGTAGCAACACTCTGCGCATGTTTTACAGTTAAAAAATAAAAAATGTATTTTAAATAAAGCTTTAAAATAGATAATTAAGAATTGTAGAGTTTTTTTTTATTATTATTTTTAACATAAAAATAATGGTCTTTGAAATGTGTTTTGTTTTGCAAAAAAATTCGCATTTTACCGGTTCGCGATTCGCGTTTCGCAGTTTGCATTTTACCGACTACCGAGGAATAGCGCATAACTTGACATTTTGATGAAAAATGAAGTATTTTATAAAACTATTTAAAATAAATAAATATAACTATTTTATTGATAATTTTTAATTTATAAAAATAAAATTTTGAGGGGGGATTTTTCTCCAAAAAAACCATATTAACACTGTAATAATTTATATACGTCTCCTAGGTGATATGAACATTGATAAAATTACCAATATAAAGCTCGTCTGATTGACCCAGCTTTATCCATAGAAGCGGCCGTTAAGAAATCAAAAAACCGAAATGAAGTCAAACTTCATCATTCAAGTTTAGATTTTGAGCAGCCATTCATATTTAGATTTTTCACCATTTACTTTGTTTATGTTGATCTTTTATTAATTATTATGTGCAACCACTTCAGTCACGTGGCTATTTCCGTGCGACAAGTTTAGAACATCAACATAAGCGAATTTTCGGCAACTTTTTCGGGAATTTTTTTCATGGTACCTAATTTCAAACCCGAAATTAATTGCCAGTTATACGTCATTGAAAAAAATTTAAAAAAAATGTCGATCTGTTAAGATTATTCTTCAAAGTTTCTTAAAAAAAAAACTAGAATATTTTTTAAGTCATTTTCTCAAAAGTAAATAAACTGGTTTTAGCTTTTTTTTGGGTTCTAGCACATCAAAAAAGATTATTCAGCTTTTAAATTACAATATTTGATACTTGTTTTTATACTAATTTGTTTTTTATATCTTGACTTAACAATTAAAAAAAAACACTTTTTATTATTATTTTTCGATATTTTTCTTGACGCTATTATGTTACTCCGTTTAACCTACAAGTATTTATTTTATTTATGATAATCCGTACACCTATTTCATTATGATACTCTGTACAACCTAGCTAGTTATTTAGGATAAATTGACTTATATTTTGCTGTGTCCTTATTCTGGGCGATTTTCAAAAAACTCTTTAATGCAGGGTTGTACTTTAT